TGGAGGTGTCCGTTCCCGGGGTAGACGGGGGCTTCGGCCGAAAGCTCGGCTCTGCACGCTGCGGCGCACGCCTGGATGGGGTGGGGAGATGTTTGGGAAGGGTCAATCGCTACCTCCATGCCATCACCACCCCCCTCTGTGAAGCTGGTACCCAAATCTCTGCTTCATCCCATGCAGGAGGGATGCCACAAGCTCAAACATTGATTTTAGCATCATCATGAGCCCATCTAAACCCATGGGTCATGAGGCCTGAAGCATCAATGACCTGAAAGGAGGGGATGGCATTGGTATCTTCTTCCAAGGAGCAAGCAATGGGACGAGAGGAAACGGCCTGAGGTTGTGGCAGGGGAGGGTGAGGTTGGATGTGAGGGGAAATTTCTTCATGGAAAGGGTTCTGAGGGACTGGCAGGGGCTGCCCAGGGCAGTGGTGAGTCCCCATCCCTGGAGGGGTCAATGTTGCACCTGGGGACGTGGTTTGGTGGCCATGGTGGGGTTAGGTTGAGGTTGGACTGGATGATCTGAGAGGTCTCTTCCAACCTTAATGACTCTGTGATGGTATCACCCCACATCGATGAGGGTGACCCCATGGTATCACCATCCCCATCACCTCCTCCCCATTCCACCACGCTGGTCCCTATGTGGGCGGGATCAGACACCAAAGCCACCATTGGGTGACCCCCTATCCCCACACTTACCGAAACACCGGCCTCGCTGGCCAGGTCCTGGCATTTGCCGCTGTCCCAGCATGGGCCGCTGGCGCCGCAGGGGGACCAGAGCAGCAGCCCCAGCACCACGGGGAGGCTGCCCCAAAGCACGCACCTCATCCTGGCCAGGAGTGGGGGGACAGGGTGATGGGAGGGGTGCAGACCCAGAAACTGTGCAGGAGCTATAGAAAAATAAAAGAAAGAAAGATTAAACTATCTTTTTTTTTTACCCTCAGGTAATTCTTTTAATGTTTTCTTTGTGTCCGCCTTATGGGGAAACTGAGGCACGGAAAAGGGAAGGCAACAGGTGAAGCTGCCTCCCTGCCTGCACCCCCATTGGTCCTGCTTGGCTGCTCCAAAAAATGGGCAACATTTCCTCCCTCCTCCCTCTTTCTTTTGCCTCCTGAACTGAAATGCATCCCTCTGGAGCCCAGGTCTTTTGTCACCGCTACTGCAGGCAGCGGTGACAAATTTGAGGCTACAAAGAATATAAAATTAGGATTAGAAGAGTAAGACCTGGATGGTTTACAATAAATAATATTGAAGGCGGTTGCTTGGCTTTTGGGAAGGGTTATGAGAATTGCAGGTGGTGTTCGGGATATGACATGACATGGGGATGGCCAAAATTAACCCAAATTCTGCCCCAAACACATGGGTGCTGCTGTGCCCTCAAGGATGAGGTTGGGGTTGGGTCCTGGACACCCATGGGACCTGGGTTCAGGGTCCCTAGGGACGCCCGGGTCCCTTTGCAAACCCCAACTCTTCCCCAAAAAAATCTGTGTCTCACCTGTGGGAGGAAAACCCCATCCAACATCGAAAGAAAACAGAAGAAAAACCCCCTCATTTTGACCCAAAAATGAGCTGACCACCACCCTCTGGTGTCAGAGCCACCAGGTCGAGCCTGGAGGGAGGGGGAATTTCCTTGGGAAATTAATGGAGGAAGGGAGGGCAATTAATGGAGGGAGGGCAATTAACGGAGGAAAGATTAAACTATCAGGGAGGGAGGGCAACTAAGGGAGGGAGGGCAATTAACAGAAGGAGGGCAATTAACGGAGGAAGGGAGGGCAATTAACAAGGAGAGGGAGGGAAATTAAGGGAGGGAAAGCAATTAACGGAGGGAGGGAGGACAATTAACGGAGGGAGGGAGGACAATTAACGGAGGGAGGGAGGACAATTAACGGAGGGAGGGAGGGAAGGGGGGCTTAGTTGCCCACCCCTCGCTGCGAAACCCCTGCCCACCCATCACAGCGCACCCCCCTCCGCAGCCACCCATCCCCACCACCCACCCAGCCCAAATTTTTTTCCAAAGTTTCTTTACCCTCCCCAGACCCCAAAATGCACCGGAGGGGTGGACCCAGAGGGCCGGATGGTTGTTTTTTAGGGGAGCTTACCTGTGTCCGGGGTGGGAGCCCGACTCCCACCGTCCCCCTCTCCCGCACGCTCCCGGAGAGCGTCTGCGGCTCCGCCCCCT